TTCTTCCTCTTCTTTTTGTAGGCCAGCTGGTGAAGTTACTTATCCATACAGGAGTAACTCGCTACTTAGAATTCAAATCAGTGGAAGGTAGTTATGTGTATAAAGGAGGAAAGATTTCAAAGGTTCCTGCAGATGAGAAAGAAGCTTTAGCTTCAAGTAAGAAATAATCTATTTTTAATTGTATGTTTGTCAGCATGCTTAGTTTATTTTATATGGACCTGTAATGTTTTGAAACTTTTCAATTATCTTTTTTTGCTCTAGTTGTAGAAGTAGATTTAGAACGAGTGACTTGTATGCTGCTTGAATTCATTACCTAATAAGTGTGATCTTTTAATTACAAACTAACATAAATGTACCAGCATCTATATTTAGTATGGAGATTCTTAAGATTCTCCTTGGTAGGTTTAATTAGGATGGGTACAGAGGACTTAAGCTTGATTAAAAACAGATCTGATCTCTAAATATGAATCTTTATGGAGGTTACATTTCTTAATTTTTATAAATAATTCAAAGGATTAATTGAGTTTTATGTTTGTATTACTAATGAAAAAATGGAAAATTTTTCAATCATATGATAAAATATTTAATATATATCGATATTTAAAATAAAAATATACAATTTCATGTGCAGGCTCGAGGTTAACTTATCAAAAACAATTCTAGTAATACCACTTGAGAAAGTGTAAAACATTTTTGATATTAACCCTTTCATATCGGGTAGATCAAAGTGCACATATCACAATCTTTTACAGAGTTACGTTCAAAAATTTAATTAAACTACTTTATTATCAATGTATGTAAATAAACTTGGCATAGAAGCAAAGTTAATAAATCAACTTTTAATATATACGTTTTAAGTTCTTAGTTTTATAAGGAAATGTTCTAAAAACTCCTCATTTTTCCCTAGTAAGAGAATTGTGACATTTGCTCTCTAGGTCTTCCCTCTTCTCTAATTTATTTACCACCCTTCCAGGAATATGGAATTTAATATAAGTTACATATTATGATATAAATATTACACAGGCAAAGCATAATTTTTATTGCCTTCAATTTTATTTGTTTATGGACCCATAAACTAAAATATTGGACACACTTGCCATGACCACCTGTCTTAATTTGCTGAAGAAAAAAAAGGTAAAAAATATTTATGTATAATGTTTTATATTTAGTTTAAACATTTACTTCAAGATTAAATGACCAGAAGAGTGGTTTTAAAGTAGAATGTTACATGATGTGTAATAGTAAATTAAGTTTTGAATTGACAGCTTTGTTGGCAGCCTGCATTAACCTTTTGCAATATATATTAAAAAAAAATCACCATTTTCAAAAATGATTTTGGTAAATAATACACATTTTAATAGGCTCTTTGTCAATAAAAAGCACTTTTCCTTGTCCAGTTTTTTTGGATTCAGCCTAAGACTTGTTCATTATCAGTTGATTATGAAGAGGATCATGGGTCTTCTCTATTCCTTAGTGCAGAATATAGAAAGGTCTGTTGGTGCTGCCAGTTCTCTCCCCCCCATCACCCTATATTAGCATTTTGTTCATTGGTTAGTTTCATATTTTGTCTTGCATACATCTATTTTAGCTTTCTTTTTATGATAACAGAAGTTCCAAATTTTTTGTGACTGTTGTAATTTAAAAATAAGTTGTTAAAGAAAAAGTTTAATTGCTGTTTGGGTGTTAATGTTCTGAAATGAAGTAATGAAGCTTATTTTGACTGTCAACTTGTCAGTAGTCATTGATGAATACCATTTTTGCTTTAAAATGTTTTGAAACCCGACAAAGTTTTGAATTTTTTTAAAAATCATTGTTAAATTACAGTAAGTCTTAAGATAGAAAACTGTGTTGCTAAGCAGAGCGTATATGTTTATTTGTGTTGTGTAAAAAAAAATGAACTTACAGTTTGACTAAAACATTTGGTTACAGATCTTTGGTGAAGCTTGAAAGATTACAATATATGTAAAAACAATTTAAGTACCATAAATAAATAGTTAGTGGCACTATCCATAATGAGAAATATATTTTTTTCAGTCCTTTTTTTGCTTTAGCAGAATACTTTGTATGGCTTATTTGCACATGAATTTTTCATCTATAATATTTGTTTCAAATTACAAAAAGCTTGTGATGCTACTCAACTTTAAGACACTTTGTTAGTATGGGGAGAATTTCAGGAGGTCTAGGTGTATATGCAGATTGTAGATGATTTAAAGTGGACTCATTGTATGAGCTCTTTTTGTAATGTGTACTTATGACACTGGTGTCCTAGCAGAGTTTTGTGATCTAATTCTGCCTATTCCCAGTTTCCACTTTTCTAGAACAAGTAGTAAGGTGACAGGATAGTGCAGTACTTTTATAGTTTCAAACTTAATTTGGCACTTTTAACCAAATATGATATCAACTCTACTCTGAGCTTAACAAGCTGATTGTCATAACTTGAGTCTTTTCAGAACTTAGACTTGTAGTGTTTAAGATGGTTTCAGTTTTCTACATCTTCAGAAGTTTCTTCCTCACAAAAAAAATACTCATTTTCAACAATATGTATACATGATTCTACATTAACTTTTTAAGCCACTAGTTCCTTCAGGCTAGTGGCTATGATAGGTTACTATCCCAGAGCCAGTTACATAGAAATTCTTTTACAAATAAAACAGCATGTACATAAAATACTATTTTCCTCCAAAACACATCAACCACAAATATACATTTAAAACCATTAAAATGTTCAAAATGTAAATTCTGTCAGTAATTACTAAATAATGTAGAATCAGTTTAATATGTAATTGAACAGATTAAATATGACTAGAATATATGTCCAAAGATGCTTTGGATTGGTATAATACCACAATCATGGAATCTTTGAGACAAAAGTGTTGATTTGCAAAGAAAAACTTTTTGATTGGCTATTAAGGTATTTCATTTTGAGTTTTCAGAAATAATTGAATATGTTGAGCTTGAGAAATGTATATCACATTTTTGCCATGAAAAAGTAACAAATCAAATGTGTGAATGTATCAAGAAGTCAAAAATGTAACAAATTCTCAATGTTAAGCCACAAATCCCCATCAAAATAATGTGTCACTCTGGAAACTAGTCCAAATGCATTTTTTACTTTACCAGGTTATTGTTGATGTTGAACACTGGTTTAATAAAAATTGCTTTTGCTGAACACTTCTATCAAAAGTCATTTACAAATGCTACTAGATGTATGTAAAATAACACACAATTTTAAGTTTTTTCCCTGTTGTTTTTGTTTTCTTTTAGGCTTGATGGGCATGTTTGAGAAGAGGAGATTCCGTAATTTCCTGGTATACATTCAGGATTTCAACTTGAATGATCCCAAGACCTGGAAGGATGTTGATCCCAAACAAACGACTGCAGCTCAGCTATATGACAAGTTTGGTTTGGATAAAGATACTGCCGATTTCACGGGTCATGCCTTGGCTTTATACAGGGATGATGAGTAAGTATTTCGATGTACTTACTTTGTAATTTATTGAAATGTTTAACATAGAAGAATATTTTAAGGTTGAAAGAATTTTTGTTTAATTAATATATATATCATATGTTTATATATTTTTCCTAATTAATCTCTTGTAAGTAACCAGACAAATCGTATATTTATATATATCTTTCCCAATTGATCTTTTGTAAGTAACCAGATAAATCATATAAATTTATATATCTTTTTTAATTAATGTTTCATAAGTAACCAGATAAATTGTATGTTTATATATGTATCCCAAAACGTTTGGCTTTTAAAGTAAGGTTAGGTTTAATTATTTTTTCTAATTTTTTTTAGGTACCTTAACAAGCCTTGCTTAGAGATTATTGAGAGAATCAAACTTTACAGTGATTCTCTTGCTCGATATGGGAAAAGTCCTTATCTTTATCCACTCTATGGACTGGGAGAGTTACCACAAGGTTTTGCAAGGTTGGTATTTAAAGATTCCTAGGTACCTGTTTACAACTGTAATTCCAATATTGTGGAATTTTTTCATTGTAAAAATTATACATATCTTTTGATCTGATAAAGGTTGGATACAACGTATAATTTCTGAATGCTGTGCCCAAATGTTGTAAGATTCAATTTTTTTAATGATAGTTTATTTGATGTGTTAATTATGTTCATTTAACTTAACTTCACCCTTCTTTTTTCTGCATAATGAAATACTTCCATATACTTAAATAGCTTATGTACTTTTAAGCATCTATTATAAAAAAGATTATATTATTTTTTAAAATAAGATACAAAATGATGTAAGAGACATTAAAAGTAACATCAGTGATATTTTATTAATGTTTTGAAAACATTATTAACATTAAAGCAATGAAATCCTACGTAAGAAAGTGATTTAAAAACAGCTTTTTCTTTCAAGTCATTTTTCTAGTTTTTCATAACTTGGAAAAATGAGTCTCGGTTGTATTGCCAAATACTTTCCTATATTTCATAATGAAATATCTTTTAATTGCTAATTGTCAGAATCCATTCAAGTACATGGAATTAAATTAACATTTACTTTAGAAACAAAATGTACAAAAATAACTTTCTGAAGCACAGATGAAGAATTGCAATGAACACTTTCAGTAAGTAATGTAAAAGTTTTCAGTATGATAAATATTTTTTATTGGTTACTCTAAAGCAACAAGTATTTTCTTCTTTTATAAAAAGGGCTGAGTGAGGCCCAGTGGTTAATGTACTGGCATGTAAACCTAATATTTTGGGGTTTGTGCCTTGTCACCACGAAACAAAAAATTGATCTGTGTATTTTGTGGTCTTGGGTGCATTATAAGAGTAATGGTAAAAATCCCACTGTTTGATTAGAGTAGCTCACAAGTTGGTAGTGGAAGATGTTGACTTGCTGCTTTCCCTGTGGTGTATCACTTCAAAATTGGGGACAGTCCTGAAATACCTTTATGGGAAAAGCCAACAAACAACATTACTTTTATAAATCGTTAAAAGTGTAAATAGTATAGGTATTTTCATTCTTTAAAGCAAACACTCAGTTTTGAGCATCCGACTACCAAAAAAAAAAAAAAAAAGCATAAGCAAAAAAAAACCATAATTTCATGTAAAATTTAAAATATTAAATAAAGTTATCGAATTTAGAATTCTATTTTACATGTTTTTTATATTGTATTTGGCCAAGAAGAAATTATGTGCATGTAATTATTTTTAAAACTCAATGAAATAATTATTATTGCCATTCCTGTAGGTTAAGTGCTATTTATGGAGGTACGTACATGTTGGACAAACCAATTGATGAAATAGTAATGGAAAATGGAAAAGTTGTTGGTGTTCGTTCTGGAAATGAAACTGCAAAATGTAAACAAGTTTACTGTGACCCATCATATGTTCCTGATAGGGTAGAAAAAGTAGGCCAGGTAAGTCATCAGGAAATTGAACTGTAAATAAATGTAAGTTACAGGGTTCAATAGGTACAAATATCTGTATAGTAGTGTCTCCTGGTGGGATGGAGGTAAGGTTATGGACATACAATGCTAAAATCTGGGGTTCGATTCCATGCAGTGGACAAAATTGTGGTTTTGCTCTAAAAAACAAAAAAACTGTATAGTAGTATTTCAATTTTGAATAAGCCATTTTTACAAATTGTATATTCTTCCAAAAATATCAAGTGTAAATTGTGTAAACTCTTTGACTACATTTTGTAAACCTGTATGAATAATCTTGTTTTTCAAAATATTAATTCAAACGAACGAAATGGAACCAGTTTTCCATTTCCTCAAAATGTTTCATGTGTATTCCTGAAAAATTTACAATATGGTAATTTAGATAAAATTGCTTATGTTGATATGCAATTAAATTATTAAAATCTCCATAGAGTTGCTCGGAATTTAGTGTTACCATTAATCTACGTGCGTTATAATTGTACAAAGTGGAAATGGCTAAGGTTTTGATTTTATAATGATAAATTCACTGGTTTGATCTGGGTTAACTGTATTAAAGATGTGTAGGATTGCAACTGAAAACTTTGAAAGTTTTTATAAAATTAGTTCAGTAAAGTCCTGATGAAAGTTTTAGCTAATACTAATGTACAATGTCCATTCAAGGTGAAATTGTTAAACTTTAAAAGTCAATTGGCATGGGTGAAGACTGTTAGTAGAGGATTTGTAAGGACATTTCCTTGGATTCACATTTTGGAATTGTTCTTGTTGGGTGTCCTTTTTATCCTTATGTTGGTTGTAAAGAAGTGGGTGCAGTCAAGTAAGGAAACATTATTGTAAAAGATAGAAAAAAAAATACAACTTAATATATTCATTAATGTGTTAGGAACCTTTTTAAATATCCAGAAAATTTTTGAAGGATAACTTAGCAGGTGTTGAACTATTGAGACGTATGTGATTTCAAGAAGACGTGTGTAGAAGTGGTAATCTTGAAGGTTATGTCTGGTGCATTTTAAGTGAAGTGCAGTGAAATTTGTAATAGTTTAAGAATTTTATATCAAAGTCAAGTTTTTAGTGCTTTGAAACTCTACATGATTTTTGTTAATAGCCATCATTTTCTTTTTGATTAAATAAAAAATATATTTGCTGATAAGTGCTTTGATTAAATAAAAAAAATATTTGCTGATAAGTGCTTCGATTAAATAAAAAATATATATTTGCTGATAAGTGCAGTCAAAGACTAATTTAATATATCAGAAGTCACTCTTTATAATTCAGGTTTGACTGTAAGTTATCAGTATTTTTATACATTAAATAGTGTGTTAAACTCAGTCCACAGTTTATTATTGTTTAGGCATTCACATTAAAACTGTGTTTAAGAATAAGCATGAATGAACATATACAGTGCTTTTTTTTAATTATAATAAATAGTTAAAAACAATGTTTTGTATTTACACAATAAAAATGTTATTGAAGCCGTACAGCTTCCACTTTAAAATAGAAATATCACTCTACATGTACAAGTTTCGACGTGATCTATGTCAACCTCAGGAGTAACTTACAAGACTTATACTTTCCCCTTGTCACATTACTTCATTGTTATTTGCATATTTCTTTAGTGTAATTGGAAGAAGAAAAAACAATATATATATATATATATATATATAT